CTTTGGCAGGAACTTCATTTATAGTTTATAGTTTAAAACAAAGATGGTAACAGCCCTTTCCCAAGACAGAACCCCTTCTTGTCTGGAGACTAGATTGCCTTTGTGGGACTAACAAATTAGCCAAAAGATTAGAAATTATGGCTTAGGAGTCATGCAGTTGGAGGTCACAAGATTCTGACCCTTCCCAAGTCGCTCCTGGGGATAACATCACTATTGTAAAGCCTAAGATCAGTGCTTGAGATATTTTGCAGACCCTGCACTTGATGGATCAGCTGGCATCACCTAGATCTAACTGGCTCATCTGATCTTGTAGCCCCCACCCAGGAACTGACTCAGCATAAGACAGCTTTGACTCCCTATGATTTCATCTCCAACCTGACCAATCAGCACTCCTGACTCTCTGGCTGCACTCCCCCACCCTCAATGCTTGGGGAGACTGATTTGAGTAATAATAAAACTCCAGTCTCCCACACAGCTGGCTCTGAGTGAATTACTCTTTCTCTATTGCAATTCTCCTGTCTTGATAAATCAGCTCTGTCTAGGCAGCAGGCAAGGTGAACCTGATGGGGTAGTTACAGTAGGTGAGGCCTAGGATTCTACATTTTCAACACACTTCCAGATGCTACCATACTCCTTCCTGCAGCTCATCCATGGACCACATTTTGAGTACCAAGGGTCTGATCCAGTAACCTCTTCTCATTCTCATCTTGCTCAACAATGCTAGTCCTTGTTGATCTTCCTGAAGCTCTCATCATTGGTTTCTCTGACTCATTATTGGCTTCTGTGATTCTCTCACCTGAATCTTTAAATTTACATTTAAAGACCAATCTTTAGATGTATGCATCAGTTTCCTCTGACGTGTAATGTATTGTCCAGGCAACGGTCAGTGCATTAATCTCTTTAGTCTTTTAAATGAAAATATTGCAAACCATCTTCTTATAAAAGACAGACCTATATCGTTATAGAAAATACCTATTGCCCATTTCATGATGTATCTGGTTTATCTGGAAAATAATCTCCCCTGAGGTTCCCTACCTCACCTGTCCCACCAATCTGCATAGGGATTAGCTACAGTTGATTGGTACATAGGTGGGCCCCTACTAATGCTGTGTTATTGTTAGTCTTTCCCCAGGATTTTGGACTAGAACCAAAAAAAAAAAAAAAGCAAGTTAGTCTCTCACTCTCTCCAGGAAAAAGAAGTCAAGAGCATATATACATGGAAGCTTTTGGGGATCACATTCTGATACACAGACTAAAGAACAACAACAACAACAAAAACAGCAGTCAACTGTGAGAAAGAGGACTGAGGAGGACACCAGGGGAGCACAGGGAAATAGCTTCAAAATGTGGCACCCTGACAACCTCTTATATCTCCACATGGACCAGACAGGCAAGGTTAGACAACAGACTGGACTGAGCCTTGGCAGAATGCCCTGTGATTTCTCCAAGTGAAAGGGTAGATAAGCAGCCTGGGGAGGAGCTGCTGTCCTGTGGAAGACTGCCACAAGGCCGCTTCTCTTCCCTCTCCCTAGTTTCAGTTGAATGCAAGACTTTCCACCTTACCCCCACGTAGGTTACAGCTGCAGACCTCAACATAAGTCTATAAAACTGCGTGGCTGTGGTTTAGAGGTAGATCCTTAACAGCAGACTGACCCACTCATCCCACCTATCCTCTGGTCTCTTCTGTTCAGTGCTGACTGTGGTGCTATGGGCACAGAGAGCTGGCACCATGATGTCTTGCTTTTGCTGTCTGTATAACTAATAAACTATCTGACTGCATTTGGGCATGCTTACTCCTTACCAGGTAAGTGTCAGGATGTGCAAGCCATCCTGACAGGTGTAGTAGTAATACTTGTGGCCCTATATATTACCTGCCTCCCTGCTGCCTTAGGAACATTTGACTACTTAAAGAAAAGAGAAGGAGAGACTTCACTTCCTGAGTTATCCTCAGCACTCCAGCCCCTTATTCCAGTTTGCTCCAAGAATGCATCCCAGACCTTGAATTCCACCAGATACCCTGGTATCTCTCTAATAAACCTCCCAGTTTCTTTTCTTTTTCCCCTAAGAAAGCCAGCCTGTATCTTTGGCCTTTACAAACAAAAGGTCATCACACACATACACACACACACACACACACACACACACAAGTGTTGCATTCAAGGACAATATCAGTGATTAGAACTACAGTGCCAGAGATTCTAATGCATTTTCTGTTTTTATTAAAATTCTTCCTCTCTTGTGTATTGATTTCTATCTGGCCCTTGACCAAGTATATATAATACAATTAGCCCACATGTATCAATAAAGATAAAGTTTTATGAAAATGTTTTTGGCCCAGTAAAAGAAAATATAATTCTTTTTTACTATTATGAAAGTATAAATTACTCTAATCATTTATTAATAACTCCATAGTATTAACTATGTAAATCAACTTTGCTATTTTTAATTTATCTTATAAATATCCTAACTTGCATTTGTATTAGTTACATTTATAAGAATATATGATGGAATCACACATATTTATGCCAAGTACTTATCACTCAGAACAGCGCAAGTAAGATTAGAGTTTGATCTACTTTT